AATCAAACAAACAAAAAAATCCTGGAAAATTGAGGATTCTCTGGGATGCCAAATTTTCCCGAAATTCCAGCCAAAACTGCCCATTCTACTCCCCAAAAAAAAAACCCCAAAAATTTTTTTAAAAATCCCAGTGGAGCCCAGCCAAGGGAAATAAGGAATTCCTCATTCCCAGGGGAGCTGCGGGCAGGAATCCCTTTGAAAATCCATCCAGGAAGGATTTGGGGCATCCCAAAATTAGTGGGGATCCAGGAGGGATCATCGGGACGGCTCCCAAAAATTCCCGGTCATAAAAGGGGGACGGGAGAGGGCTCATCCCAAAAAAACCCCGAAATTCCCATTTCCTGCTCCTTTGTTCCCTGTTTGTCCCACAAAAAAAACACCCAAAAAAATCAGGGAAAATGAGGACTGGGAATGCCAACTGTGGGAGTCACTTCTGCACCAGGGAAGGGCCTGGAATTTGGGATTTTGGGGTTTTTTGGGGGGTTTTTTGGTCCCTTTTATATGAATGCAACATTTTTGAATTAATTCAGGTGAGGTGCCTGAAAAAAAAAGGGAATTATCATGGAAAATCCTCCTTGGAAGGGATCAAATACAACTCCGGGCCCTGCACAAAATTCCTGAAATTCCCAAATTGGGAAAATGCTCCTGGAGCCTTGGGAATGTGACCATGACTGGAATATTGGAATATTTGGAGTGTTGGAATATTTGGTTATTGAAATATTGGAGTTTTGGAATATTGGAATTATGGAATATTGGGATATTTGGATATTGGGATATTTGGGTATTTGAATACTGGAATTTTGGAATATTGGGATATTGGATTATTTGGATATTGGGATATTTGGGATATTTGATTACTGGAATGTTGGGATATCTGGATATTTGGATATTGGAATATCGGATTATTTGAGTGTTGGAATAATTGAATATTGGAGTTTTGGAATGTTGGAGTATTGGAATATTTAAACATTTGAATATTGGAATATTTGAACATTAGATTATTTGAATACTGGAGTATTTGAATATTAGATTATTTGGATATTGGAGTATTTGAACATTAGATTATTTGAACATTGGAGAATTTGAACGTTGGAATTTTGGAATATTTGGAATATCAAGCTCCAAATTCTGACCCACGACCTAAATCTCCCGTTTTATTTCCTGCTTTCCCAGGGGCCTGGAGGCCGCCCTGTGATTTCCCTTTAATTTCCCGGCTGCACAGGAAATCCCAGGGGCGCCGGCGCCGCTTTTCCAGGCGGATCCCAACATTCCGAGGGCCTAAGGGAGGGACCCGAAGGCAAATCCCAAATTCCTCTCACTTTTATGGATTCTCCCCGCCCTGAATAAAAACAACAACAACAACAACACCCTGAACTTTTTAATGCTGAATTCCCTGACCTGGAATTTTGGGAATAAACAGGCGTCGGAGAGCGGCTTAGGCCGGGTTTTATGGGAATTCCTTGGGAAGTTTGGGATCAAGGAGAGCTCCTAATTCCTGGTTGTGCGTGCCCAGCGCAGGGAGCAGGGCATTAACGTGGTGACCTGGCATTAAAAACGCCCTTAATTAACACCCCAATGTCCTTAATTAACATTTGCGAGGCCCTTTCATCTCCCAGAGGCTCCTGGGAAATTGGGAAGGGGGGGGGTTCATTATTCCCAATTAAACGCTGGGGAAACTGAGGCACGGCTGAGTCAGGGCCAACCCTGTCCAAAACATCCCCAAATCCCGGTGACCCCAAAATCAGGGATCCACTCACCAAAGGAGGATTTTTCTGGAAGGTTCCGTGGGAAAAGCCACAAGGCCACCGCGAGAAGGGACTGGGAATGTTGGGAATTTTGGGAATGTTGGGAATGTGGAGACCCCAGGATCTGCAGGGACAGGACACAGGGAATGGGGTCAGGGGGACAGAGGGGGAATTTGGGTGGGATTTTGGGAAGGAATTTTTCTTTTTGAGGGTCCCAGGTTATTCCATGGATTTCCCACCCCTGGAACCACCAGGGATAGGGGAAGGTCCCTGCCCATGGAAGTGGGATTTGGATTTTTTGGGATTTCGGGTTCCTTTCCATCCCAAACCGTTCCAGAATTCCCTGGGCTGGTTTGAATGGGGTTTCAGGGATCAATCCTTCCCTGGCCCAGGTGATTCCATGGATTCTCCATCCCTGGGAATATCCAGGGCTGGATTGGAGCCATCTGGGAAAGGGGAATGTCCCTGCCCATGGAATGGGGTGATTTTGGTGTCCCTGAAACCCAAAACATTCCTGGATTTTATCCCGATTTTAATCAGCTCTAACAGGTCCCTGAAACTCAAAATATTCCACGATTTTATCCTGATTTTAATCCCTGAAATCTAAACCATTCCAGGATTTTATCCCGATTTTAATTGGATCCAACAGATCCCTGAAACCCAAAGCATTCCAGAATTTTATCCCAATTTTAAGCAGATCCCAACAGGTCCCTAAAACCCAAACCATTCCAGGATTTTATTCTGATTTTAAGTGAATCCAACAGGTCCTTGAAGCCCAAACCAGTCCAGGATTTTATCCCAATTTTAGGCAGATCCAACAGCTCCCTGAAACCCAAATCATTCCGGGATTTTATCCCAATTTTATTCCCTGAAACCCAAATCATTCCAGGATTTTAACCCAATTTTAATCCCTGAAACCCAAATCATTCCAGGATTTTATCCCAATTTTAATCCCTGAAACCCAAATCATTCCAGGATTTTATCCCGATTTTAATCCCCGCCACCCAAACCATCCCAGGATTTTCCCCCTCAGTTTTCGGGGGATCCATAGCGTTGGACTGTGGGACCAACCAGATTTTCCACATTCCCTGCTGGAAATAAAAACCCAAACTCTGAAAAAAAGGAGGCACCGGGAGCTCCCGACACTCCCAGGAGCTCTTGGACAACTCCAGGTGGCACCAGGAGGTGACCGAGGCTGGGAGGGGCAGGACAAGATGCGGGACAGCGTCCCCAGCCCGGCCACACCCTCCTGTCCCCTCGGGTCACCTCGTGAGCTCCTGCTCATCTTCCTCATCATGGAGCTTTATCCAGCCTGGATTTTGCTGGATTTTTAATAAATAAAAATTTCATATTAAATAAATCTTTAATTTTTAATAATTATTTCATATTAAATATTTTCTATTAAATAAATATTAACATTAAATAATTATTTCCATGAAATATTTTTCTATTAAATAAATGTGTCTATTAAATACGTATTTCATCTTAAATAAAGATGAAATGTTAAATAAATATAATAATATTAAATGTGTATAATGTCAATTTAAAAGAATCATGATAATATTAAATAATTATTTCTTTAATTAAATAAAAAAAAACACCAAGAGGCAGAAACTCAAGATTTTAATCCGAGGTCAGGCAACAATGTTTATTTAAGTTTATAGATATATATATATGTAAATATTAATATATTTCTGTAAATAAAGTTTGTTTCCAGTGCACATCTCCAGCATAAAGAATTTAATTAATTACCTTTTTAATGAAGTATTTATAAAATAACCATGCTATAACTTTCGTTATTTTGAAGAGGTTTCATTTCAAGTTTGGTTTTTATCTTAACCAAAGAATAAAAATTTCACGAGGGACGTTTTGGAGAATTGCTCTTTGGGCACTCTGCGGGAGTCAGGGCTTAGAAAAAAATGGGAATTGTGGCCACATTCCCGGGGATTGTCCTCGTCCCACGCCCTGGGGGTCACCAGGGCCACTTGGGGGCCGAGCAGTATTTCTTGGCGTGGCTGGAGATCTTCACTCCACCGGACTGCTGGGGGACACACTTGGTGGCACTTTGCTGAGGGACGCATTTGGTGGCACTTTGCTGGGGGACACACTTGGTGACACACTGCTGGGGGGCAACAATTGTCCCATATTGCTGAGGGACACACTTGGTGACACATTGTTGGGGGACACACTTGGTGACACATTGCTGGGGGGCACCAATTGTCCCATATTGCTGGGGGACACACTTGGTGGCACTTTGCTGGGGGACACACTTGGTGGCACTCTGTTGAGTGACACTCTTGGTCACGCACTGCTGGGGCACACACTTGGTGGCACTTTGCTGGGGGACACATTTAGTGACACACTGCTGGGGGACACACTTGGTGGCACTTTGCTGGGGGACACATTTGGTCGCACATTGCTGGGGGACACACTTGGTTACACTCTGCTGAGGGACACAAATTGTGCCACACTGCTGAGGGACACACTTGACACTTTGCTGGGGGACACACTTGGTGGCACTTTGCTGAGGGACACACTTGGTGGCACTTTGCTGAGGGACACACTTGGTGGCACTTTGCTGGGGGACACAAACTGTCCCATATTTCTGGGTGACACCTTTGGTGGCACTTTGCTGGGGGACGCACTTGGCCATGCCTTGCTGGGGGACACACTTGGTGGCACTTTGCTGAGTGACACTCTTGGTCACACACTGCTGGGGGACACAGATTGTCCCGTAGTGCTGGGGGACACAC